GAGGGTATAGCTGGGGGGCCTCAGCTTTGCTAGTTTGACACGAGCTTCATTCTCGGGCAGTTGCCCTGCGGTGATGAAGCCGATGATATCCGAGATCCTGTCTTCCGGTCCCTGTTGTATGTCCATTACGGAGTTGGCGTGTATGCTTGAGAGGTTGTGTTCCTCTATCCTCGCGATCTTTGAGAGGTGTTCCGGAGACTCATCCGAGAGTTTGGATAAGATGTCAGCCTCAGAATTTTGAGCCCTTGGTATTTGAGTGATGGAGTGAGCCTCAAATACCTTGAGCAATTCTTTGGCCGCTTCCCTGTATTGCTTCATTCTTCCTTCTTTTGCCTCATATTTGCCAGAGTTCCGGCCAACTACTAGCTTAGAATCACACATTACGTGGATCATCCTTGCTTTGAGGTTGGACGCCAGCCGAAGGCCACAGAGGAGGGCCTCATACTCCGTTTCGTTGTTGGAAACATTGAAAGAGAAGCAGATGGTGTAGTAGGCGCGGAAGCCTTCGGGCTTGATGAGGACCACGCCCCCTCCGCATGCTTTTGTTGTCGAGGATCCGTCTGCGTAGAGGGTCCACCATTCATCCCCCTATGCCGAAGGCTCTACTAGCTTAGCTGACCTCGCGGTGCATTTCGTCATGAAATATGCCAGAGCCTGGCCCTTTATGGCAGGCCTCGGACGGATTTCAATTTTGTATTGGCTCAGGAATATGGCCCATTTCACCATTCAGGAGGAGCTGGTGGGACTCCTCATCAATGCGCCGAGGGGTTGGTGCGTGAGGACCTGGACCGGATGGGTTTGGAAGTAATGGCTTAGCTTCTTGACGGTCCAAACGATAGCTAGTACCGTCTTCTCCACAGGAGAATACCTGAGTTCCGCCTCCCTGAGGGTCTTGCTGACATAGAAGATGGCATGTTGGATGTTGTCTTCCTCCCGGATCAGAATCAAGTTGATGGCCGCGGGACTGACGCGCAGGTAGAGATATAATGTCTCTCCAGCCTTGGGCTTGGAGAGCACCGGGGGAGATTGTAAATACTCCATCAACTCGTTAAAGGCTACCTGGCACTCCTTTGTCCATCGGAAGCCGGCGGTCTTCCTCATAATCTGAAAGAAGGGGAGGGATTTTTCCGCTGATTTTGACAGGAAGCGATTGAGGGCCGCCAATCAGCCTGTCAGACTCTGTACTTCCTTCACATTGCGTGGAGGCTCCATGTTAATGATGACCTAGATTTTCACAGGGTTGGTCTCAATACCCCTTCGGCTAACCATATAGCCCAAAAACTTGCCTCCTTGTACGCCGAAGGTGCATTTCTTCGGGTTCAATTGAAGGTTGAACTTTTGCATGATGCCGGAAATTTCCGAGAGGTCCTCGGCATGGCTGGTTGACCGCTTTCTCTTGACGATCATGTCGTCGATGTAAGCCTCCATGGTGCATCCTAGAATGGCCTGAAAGACTCTGGCCACCATCCGGGTGTAAGTGGCGCCTGAATTCTTTAAGCCGAAGGCCGTAACTAGATAGCAGAAGATGCCTTCGGGAATCATGGAGGCTGTTTTCTCCACGTCTTCCTTGTGCATGCAGATTTGGTGATACCCTCGGAAGGCATCGAGGAATGACATGATTTCATAGCCCGTTGTTTCATCCACCATCTGGTCAATGTTAGGCAGAGGGGAGGGATCCACAGGGCATGCCTTATTCAGGTCTGTGTAATCCACACACAAGCGGAAGGTGGGTGGTTTTTATGCAAGGACCACGTTAGCCAACCACGAAGGGTATTTCACCTCCCAGATGTGTTTGATTGAGAGGAGCATAATGACCTCTTTCTTTATGAAGTCCCTCCTATCGGCCGAGAGGGGCCTTCTTCTCTGTTGCACAGGTTTCGAGGAAGGGTCCACCGTCAGGCAATGAGTGATTTACCCTTCGGCTGATTCCAGGAATGTCCTCCGCCCCCATGCAAAAACAATGGAGTAGGCGCGGAGGGCCTCCGTAATTCCAGTCTTCAAGTCTTCGGGAAGCTTGGCTCCAATCTGTACGACTCTCTCCGGTTTGGTCGGGTCGAGCGCAAAGTCTTCCACTTCTTCAGCTGGTTCCGCCCTTGGCCTCTTCTTTTCTTCTTCTACTGTTCTGATGATGGTGTCTACATGGAACTCAGCCTTACTGACCTTTTTTTTATTTGGAGGTAGCCGGCGTGTGAGAGCTTCTGGTTTCCCTTCGAGTACCCGATTCCCCCCTCAGATGGGAACTTAAGGCATAGGTGCTTCATGGAGATGATTGTCTTCAGGTCCTCGAGGGCAGGCCGACCGATGATGATGTTGTGGGCGCACTCGATGTTGACATTGAAGAACTCCACTTTGAGCTTGGCTCTATGGAGCCCGTCACCGAAGAGTACCGGGAGGGATATTACCCCCTCGGAGTCTATGGTGTCTCCAGTGAAGCCAGACAGAGGGGTCCGGATGGGCCGAAGGAATCCCCTCTCCAAATGCAGCTCCTTGAATGTGCTGAGGTACATTACATTGACGGAACTGTCCGTGTCAACGTAAGTTCTGTGGACAATGGTGTTATTGATCTCACTCTGGATCACTAACGCGTCCCTGTGGGGGATGGAACCTGGGGGAGATCGACGTTGGTGAATGAGTGACTTCCCCTACGTAAAGGGATTGCGCCCACTTCTTTCTTTGGCTGGTGGAGTCTCCTCCCGTGTTACCGCCGGTGATCATGTGGATGTGGCGCTTCTTTTCTTGGCACTGGTTGTACCCTTCTTCCTCGTTGAGGTTTCCAATCTCCCTTTTCTTACCCTTCGGGTCGCCGAGGGGGTCGTGTTTGGATTAACCTAGGCGTTTGCTTTCGCATGGGGGCCTTGATGAGGGTACCCCCTTATGAATTGGGATAGGTGGCCCAATTCTATCAACTTCTCGATGGCTGCCTTCAGTTGGTGGCAATCATCGGTTCGGTGGCCTGGGTGCCGGTGGAAACGACAGTAGGGTTCCTCGAGGTTGATGGTGTAGACCTCCCAGGGTGCCCTAGAATCTCGCTCCACTAGCCCCACTCCTCGGCGTAGTCCAGAATGACGCTGATGGGGTGCGTCAGGGGGGTCTGAGGGTGCTCCAGAAGAACGGGTTAGGCCCAGGCCTTTAGGTTGTTCTTGTAACCTTCCCCGGACATGGCTTGGCCATGCCGGGGTGATCACCTAAGGGGGATGGACCTTTGGATTGGTGGAATGGAGGTCTCGGCCCCCAGTGGTTCTTGTCATCTGCCCTAGGACGTTGCTTCTCGGGGTTCTGGTGGCACTTTTCCACCTCCTCGGCCTCTACGTACCGGTCTCCCCGCTGGAGGGCCCTTATGTAGTCGCGAGTAGGGCTGGTTTGGTATGGCATACCGAAATTTTTACACCATACCACATACCGTACCGAAATGCCGGTATTTGTAAATATCATACCGTTACCATACCGAAATTTTCGGTATACCGAAAATTCGGTACGGTATGTAACTCATACCGTTTTATACCGAAAATTCACAACACTAAACTTTCAAGACAATTCCGTATAAAGCATCAGCATAAGGGGCCTACCAAACATTCAAAAAACTGATTTTGGATATGTCAAAAGTATCAAACGACATCAATTACATAAATTCATACCAAACGTAAAACACAATATTTAATCCAAAGTAGAAAATACTAAAATTATGCTCTAATGTAACAAATATCATGCTAATCCATTCTGAAACAATATACAGAATATTAGTTCCTTAGTCTACCATATTATTTGCAAACAATCCTTTCAAGAAACAATTATATAAGTTAGGTTAGTCATGCAAATTATATAGAAACGAGAATTGGAAGGATGTGGAAATTGCAGATTATAAAAGTAAAGGAATAAATTAAGGTCATGTAGTCATGCATATCCCACTTTTTTGTCATTATAGAAGCTTAGTCTAAGTAGAGTAATTTAAGAAGGTCCCTCAATGCCTCAGTTTTGAAATAAAATGTTATGAAGCCACAGTTAATTTTAGGTGAAGTAAAAAACAATTTTCTAATAGTTCAAAGTCTAGCAGAATTCATCAAAACGATACATCAAGTTGAAGCCTCAAAAGGTGTTGCATAAATCTATTTCCCAAGCTATCCTTATAGTCAGGGAATCACACAAGCTGCAAATGTAACACATCAAGCGTTACTCATAGGATCAATCAAATGCTGCAATGACTAGACAAGAACTACAGAAAAACATGTGATTTTTCAGATTGAAGCCTCACAATTAGGATCCTAGTCTTCTACTTTTTTGTACAAAGGCTTCCTGATTTTGTTTGATGTAAATTAGGATTATTCGCTTACCTTTTGCTTTATAGTCAAGTCTGCAATCTCTATAAATTAATAGCAAGAGGCTAACACAGACAATATGTAACACCGATCCCGAACATATTTACTTTTAGTAAATTATGTAATAAACCTTGAAAGATGATTCATAAATTTGCGTAATTGTAAATTTTCATTTTTCTTTTACGTGAATAGTAAATTGCATGTGGGGCCCACAGTGGGAACGGGGACCGCCCGATAATTCCCGAACCACATGTTATATTCATCTTGGTCTAGATGACATCTATATGGTGGTGGATATTTTATTTGGGCCATAAGAAGGGCATGGAGTTGACCGGTCGGTCAAACGGGGCCCAATTACCGGTATTGGCAATTTAACGGATAACAGCCCGAAATGAGTTTCGGAGGCTCCTAAATTAATGTTGGGGAATGTATATCTATTCTAAGGGCCCATAATTATTGGAAACGCATGATATATTTTATCCGGCCCGATAAATTAAAATATGACTAAAACAGTCTGAAAAATACAACTTTCGGGGCCGATTATACACATCGGGGCATAAGGGGATGACCTCCCACATGAGTGGGGGCCACCCCACGACCCAATGTGCTGCACATGACAAGGAAGCAGCTGGGGGTGTACCTAGTAGGTGGGAAGTCTCCAAGAGACAAAACCCATACCCACCATTACCCTACTCCCTTGTTTTTATGGGTGGACTTAGGTGGATGGTGTTAATCACTCATCCTAGCATCTCCTCACCCATCCACTCGGCCAAGGCAGATAGAGAAGCTCTAGGGAAGTCTCCTCTCATAGTCCAAGCAGCAAGGAAGAGAATCCAAGGAGAAGAGGGTTGTTTTTGAGGTAAGAACTCAATAAACAATCTTTAACTAGTTTTATTATTGTATGATTTTTAAGAAATCATATGGTGGATTAAATCATGAGTTATACACGTTTAAAAGTGTAGAATATTGATATAAAGTGGTGGTAATTAACTTAGGAGGGTTGGCCAATCGATAGGAGTCGAAACCGCCGGAAACCGTCACTTCAAAGGAGCTAGTCGTAGTTGCAGACCACGAAAGCCGCCCGGCTTTCGTGAAAGCCGCCCGGCTTTTGCCCAGCAGTCCAGTTTTACACCTTCAATCGGCCTAGAACGGGGATTGATCGAGGGGCTTGGCAAAGGCAACTATTTCAGCACTTCATAAGGTGAGGATGGCTGACTATGTTGCTTATAATTAGTGAGTTAATTTCATAAGAATGCCTAAAGTAATTAGATGGGATTTTCATGGATTATTAATGATTAATAATGTCTAAATGAAAATAATATGAATATGAGTAAGTGAAGCATGATATACAAATTTAGAATAATTGTGTATGATTTTGTGAAATGAATGGAATGGCATGTTAATGGAATTACTAAGATGACATTGTGATAAAATATACTTCGTACTTTACTTCATGTATGAAATTCATGAATGGATTAAAGTGATATTTTTGATATTGAGATCAAACTATACTTGGGTTGAGAAATCAATGGAGATGAAATGCCAATTGAGAAATAGGAACTTGGCATGTTCTAAGATTATCCAATTAGTATCAAAATAACTAGTTGGGGAATTAATATAAATAATTGATGAAACAAATCCTAAGAGGGAGGATTGTGAATAGATATGCCTTAAGTAGTCTCAAGAGATACTTAAGGAGGAATGGTATGAACATTAAGGTGTGATGGGGGTAGGCCTAAAGGCCACCTACGGGAATTGATTCTAGGCATAGGAATTGCTTTAGAATTGGATTATGAAAATAATTAGAGTTGGACTCTAGGATGACATGGAGATGTAGTTGGGCCGAGCCCATGCCATGTAATATGATTAGCATGGAAACGTAGTTGGGCCGAGCCCTTGCCATGTATATGTGACCTCCGTGGAAACGTAGTTGGGCCGAGCCCTTGCCACGAGGTTATGGTTGGTATGGAAACGTAGTTGGGCCGAGCCCTTGCCATACAAATTTTGATATGATATATCGAGTTAGAGGATTGTATAGAGATGTAGTTGGGCCGAGCCCATGCTATACAATTGGGGCTCGATGGGACCCCACGGGGTTATCGTGACTTGCGGTCACGGGGGAATGGAAACGATGAATTCTAAATGAATATGGGCCTACGGGCTGACTACTTGACTTTATGTAAAGTAAGTACAGTTAAAGGTAAAAAGGGTAACCGAGGGTTATGGCCTATAATATAATAGTACCCTGAGTTGAGGGTCTTGGAAATTAAAACGTTGATTATACTTAGTATAGTTGTTATTGTACTTGTCAAATATTTCCAAGTACTGACCTCCCCTTCTTAGGGCCGAAGGCCTCCACATGTGCACCGTGGGCTTCTTTATGCTTGGGCCGCAACGTTTGGACTTTGCGTGCTCATCGGGCTTGATGTACCTGTGCAGGAGAAGTAGGAGCCTATGGACCAGGGATCCCTAGACCATATACTCCATCAGCCAAAGCGTTATTTATGGAGGCAAAATTGCCGCAAGACCATTTATTTGTGCCTTGGAATCTATAGTCACGTAACGTCGTAATAATGTATTATATTTGTGCCTTAAATAAAACATCATTGTATTAATAGATCATTTATTACTAATGAATGTGCCTTACATAAAACATCTATATATATTGACTTATAGATGGAGAGCAACGCGTGGATAAGCATTCTTACTTTCATTTTGTTTTCAATCACTTCTAAGAATTCATTAATTATTACTCATTTTTTAATTACGGAAAACAAAAAAATACCCAATCAAATAATATTTTTAAATAGTAATGAATATATGACTAAAATAGAAGCGGTTGATAAAATGTGTCTTTTTATACTCATTAAGAATCTTTCAAAAAAAAAATACTCATTAAGAATGTTTTTACTTGGACTATTTGTAGTCCCATAGCAGATTTAAACAGATCAGACCAGACTAAACAAATTAGACCATACCAAACTTTCATAGTGTTGAGATACACTAGAGAATACTCAGACCACACCAGACCAGTTCAGATCAGAACATACCAGACTTAAACATACCAGACCAGATTAAATCACCAAATTTCAATCCAATTAAAAATATCCTAAATATAAAATAAATATAGTGCATTTAATGATTTGATCATGTCCAATTTTTATTCCATAATAACTGTGTAGTTATACTTAGAGTAACATTAGTATCACTTTTTATAACTTATATTTTGATAATATTTAATGAAAAAAATATATTTTCTTAACATGTTAATACAAATAACAACACCATAAAAATAACCACAATATTTTAATAGTATATCGCCATCATCGTGTATATACCGTATATATAGTATTACCTTCGTTTTTCTGACATTGGTACAAAAGATGACGGTGAAGTTATAAAGAAAAATGAGTTTATGTGGTTGATATTGAATTGATAAAGTGAGAATAATTTTGAACCATACAAACATTATTAAATTTGGTATGTGACAATCTTAGTGGGATAGACCAAAAAGAAAAAAACGAAATAATCTTAGTGAGACGTAGGGAGTACCATATATGCAGTAAATGTTACCGCAAATAATATTATAATAACACACGATAACAGTAATTAAATTTGTATCATTGTATGCTAATAATATAACATAATATTATGTAACATTTTTTTGTGGTTTCATTGTTTTAAAAAGTATGATATTACTTTAGTTTGCACAAATGTGTAAATATATGTGGAGTATCTTTTATTTATATATCTGTACAATATTTTTACACAAAAATCCTAAATTGTTGGCTAATCAGTTTCTCATGTGTTATTACAATAGTAATAATAATATTAATAATGGTAATAGTACTTATACAATGATAATGTATCTATTTAAAATTATATAAAGCTAAAGGTCTTGATCATCCTAACAATGGTAATAGATTTATATCGCATGGGAATATATAACATTATAAGCTAACCTACAAAATTGTTGCTCTTTCGGGATCCAAAATTGGCATCTAATCATTGACAAAAAAAGAAATTAATTTTAGTGGAGAAAAATATGCACATCACCCTATAATACAAATGACACTATTTTTTTCATCGTACATGATATAAAAGAAGATATACAGAGAAAAACATGCACATCACCCTATCATTTTTCTTATTTATAGATAAAATATATAGATTTTTTATGGTAGAAAATATATAGATATTAATTAGCATCGATAAGTACTGATAAACAAGTAAATTGAAATGCTTTTAGAGATTCATTTTTTCCTAAAGTCATAGCCGGTGGGATGAATCAACATGTTTTTAATTTATTTTACATCCAGATCAAATCAGACTTAAATAAACCAAACAAGATTAGACTCAAATAGATCAAATCAGATCAGACCTCGACAGTTGTAAACACAGAGATCAAACATCTATCATACAATATCAGTTTATTAGACTCGACAAGACCAGTTCAGATTAGACTAGATCAAACAAATTAGACCAAATTAGATCATAATAACCATACTAGACAAGATTAGGATTTTTCGTTCCATGTAAAAACATCCTAAGGAAGCTCCGAAATACAAAAAGAACAATACTAACATGTGAGCAAATACTTTTATTAAAACATGAGTATAATGTTTAGTAAAAATTAACACTTATACTTTTGACGTATAGAATTAATAATACTTAGTAAATGTTTCTCTATTTTCATCTTCATAAGATATAAAGTGGCAGAATGATTACTGGAAGGAAAATTACCCTTGATCACATAGAGGGAAAAAATCGTTAAGTGCAATGTGACAGAAAGAATGTACATGTCATTATCGTTAAATTACACGATAGTATCTATCACAATACAATGTAATACTACATCCGTCCCTTAAAACTTTGCCAAATTTGCCCGACACGGAGAATAATAAAGTAAAAATTGTGTGATTGAGGTTTGTGCAGAGGAGAGAAAAATAACAGAAACCAAAAAATAATTGATTAAAATGAAAAGTGACAAAGTTTTTTGGGACGTCCCAAAATGGAAAAAAATTTAAGGGATGGAGACACTATTAATCAAGTTATTACCAACGTACTCTAGTTTTTTTTTTCCAATAACAACAAAAGCTATAGCCAGTCTGTACACCCAACTAAGCGCAGAGACAATGGCTTAGCCTCACTAGCCTCCATAAAGTCTCAGACAATCTCCATTGCAGATTTGGGCTGTTCATCAGGACCAAACACTCTCTTGTTAGTCTCCGAGCTCATACAGGCGGTTGATTGTGCCCGGAAAGAGCTCCGGCATCGCTCCCCGGAATTCCACATACAGCTAAATGACCTTCCCGGCAATGACTTCAACACCATATTACTATTGTTGTCGCAGTATATGGAAGGTTTGAAGAAAGAGATGGGAGATGAGTTTGGGCCATGTTTCATCAGCGGAGTTCCTGGAACGTTTTATGGGAGGCTTTTTCCTACCAATGCTCTGAATTTCGTCCACTCCTCTTACAGTCTAATGTGGCTATCTCAGGTATTAAACGTTTCCCCTCAAACCGTTAGATGTTAACCTTTTCTTACCATTTTATATAGGGAAAATTCCCAAAAATAAGAGCAAAAAAGTTGGAAATTTTCAATATAGAAATGTTATGTTTTTATTTTCAAAGTAGGAGTAATTACTTCCATGTTTGGAAAATTTTGTCATACTTTGGAAAAAAACATGATAGTTTATTTTGAAATATACAAACGTTTTTAGTCCTATTTATTTAAGGTAATTTCCACTTTTACATAGTATTAGCATTCCACCTGTGAACCCGCACGGGTAGCTCAGTTGGTTCAGTGGTGAGAAATTTGGACCAAGTGACCAATGTTCGAAACCCGCAGCGGCCGTGTGGAGGTCACAGAACCTGAAATAAGGTTAGGCCTCTGATGCACACGGGAAAAAGGCCTACCATCATTGGGCCGACTGAGTCACCGTGATTAACATCCTCCCAAAAATCCTGTCGGGTCGGGGTATGGGGGACTCCTGGGGTGGGAGATTCCACCTTTTGGACCAAGCATTCCACCTGTGAATGCACGCAAGAATTTATCATTTGCGATTCTGAGTTTGTATTAAAAAACTAAACAAAGCATATAAAATAAATTCATGCTTTAACAGAATGAAATATGGTAATGGTAAAAATATACTATAAATTTGCTCTGTCTTTTATTACAACTTTACCAAGTTTGACTGTCACGAGAAATAACAAATTAAAATGAGTGAAATTTGTGCAGATGAGAGAAAACAAATAGCAATCACAAAGTAATTGATTAGTAAAGAAAGTAGCAAAGTTTTTTAGACAACAAAAAAGAAATATGATAAAGTTATAAAGGATAAAGATATAATCATTGTTATAAAAAACGTTCTAAGCGTCTGAATAGGCCCCCACCTAGCCGCTAGGCAGTGATCGGACGCTCTGATTTTAGTCTAGGTGTCTCGAATAATAGGTTCGATGCCTAGCGGAATTAGTCGACCGTCTAGGACGTCTAAATTCTCAGAATAATTTTTTCCTTTTATTTATTTTCTGTGAAATATATGTACCTTTAACTTTAACTACATATATGGAGAAACTACTTGTACTTTAAGATAATATATATATAGTTGTGTATATTCTTAAATTATGTTATCATGTAATTTTTATTACATAAGGAAGTTAAGTAATTAGTGTTGGAAAAATGTGTTAAAAATGGCATTAAATGGTCTTTTTGAGGCAATTATTTGAGTGGGGTCCACTTCCGATTTGGGTCGGGTCAAAGTGGTTTCGGATTGTCCTTGTTAAGGGCTACAATTCGATATATGGTACACTCAAAATGGATAACGGGTGAATGAGAAATTGATTCTCGAAGTTCACTCAGTGAAATGGAAAAACTGGGAAAATGGTGAGTTTCTAGTGTGTTTTATCCCACATCGGAAAACTCAAGGGATTTTCACCCCCTTATAAAGGGAAGCCTCTTTTAAGAAATTAAGATTCCTAAAGGGAAAGGCTCTCTCTTACGCGCAGGGGGGGGTGCCGATCAAATCCCGAAACGGAGAAGAAAAACCGCGACTCGTGTGCGTGGGCGACCTGCGAACACGAATGTCGTCCAAAAATCTATCTCTCAAAGGGGGTGTTCTGTTGGGGTCTTCTGTCGCGCAATTCTACCGTTACGAAAGTTAATGCCCAACGTTCTTCTCTTTTAATGCTGCGTTAAATGGACGACTCAATGCCCAACGGACTGGTCATTGATGTCTAACGTTCAGGTCCATTAACACCTCATTTAACACACTACAAATCCTCCTATAAATAGTTGGCAGGTGCTTTGCAACAAACACACGTTTTGACAACACACAATACATTCCTCACGTTTTCTTGAGCGAAAAACACTTCCAGCTACTCCCAAATTTCCTAAGTGTTCTTGTTGTGTTCCAGTTCGCCGGAACTTTCGTTTGTGTGCTCAAACGATCTTTCGTTAGCCACCATAACCTGGGAAACGGTCGTTGCACCGCTCCTAGCACCGTGGGAGGCGACGAATACGTTTTAAGGACATCGTGCGTAGCACGAGCTCTGGCTAAAATATGTTCCATCTTATTTTCTGTTTTCTTTTAGCTATTTTGTTTATTAATTAATTTTATTTAATTAATATTTCTTCGTTTTTTCCGAAACACACCCAACAATCTTAAAACGTATTCCGTGATTGTTCTACTCCGGTAAACAATCCTAAAACATATTTTCTTTGATTGTTGTACTGTGGTAAACAATCTAAAACGTAGTTTGTCACTTCGGTGAACGAACTTATTTTTTGTGTTTTCGGAAAACGTTGAAAATGTTAACATGGCTTCGCAAGAAATTGGAAATGTTGGTGGGCAGAACGTGCCGAACGATAATCACTCTGAAAGTGGAGCACCGGTGAACAATGGTTCACAACGTGGTGCATATACTTTGGGCAACCAATGGGCAATCCCTATGGTTACCGTGCCGAGCAACTCTGTGGAGAAACCCGAAAAATTTAACGGGTTAAACTTCAAGAGGTGACAACAAAAGATGATATTCTATCTCACTACTCTCGGTCTTGCAAGGTTCTTGACCGAAGATGCGCCGGTAGCAACCGGGGGTGAGGTGGATGCGCAATCTTTCAGCGCGGTTGAAGCTTGGAAGCATTCTGACTTCCTTTGCCGAAACTACGTGTTGAACGGGCTGCATGATGCTTTGTACGACGTTTATAGCAAATTAGCTACGGCTAAGGAGCTATGGAATGCTTTGGACCACAAATATAAAAGCGAGGATGCCGGCGCAAAGAAATTTGTTGTTGGTCGATTCCTTGACTTTAAAATGGTGTATTCGAAGACGGTCTTGAGTCAAATTAAGGAGATGCAAATGATCTTCAACGAAATTCGAGATGAAGGAATGACAGTTAGTGAGTCTTTCCAAGTGGCGTCAATTATCCATTTATTACCGCCGGCTTGGAAGGATTTCAGGAACTACCTTAAGCATAAGTGAAAGGAAATGAACTTGGAGCAATTGATCCTCCGTCTACGGATTGAAGAGGATAACCAGAAGAACGATGAGAAACTCCCAATTGTTCATGGCGCCAAGGTAAACGTGGTGGAGCATGCAAAAGGCTCCAAAACCAAGAATAATGGGAAGAGCAAGCTCGGTCCCAAGGGAGGCGTTTCCAAGAAAAAGTTCAACGGAAAATGCTTCAATTGTAATAAAAACGGACACAAGTCCGCGGATTGCAAGGCACCCAAGAAGAAGAGGGACTCTCAAGTCAACTTGGTGCAAGGTGGGCAAAAGGATGAAGACATCATCCTTGCGGCTGTGGTGACCGAGGTCAACCTCGTTGGATCCAATTCCAAGGAGTGGTTTGTGGACACCGGTGCAACCCGGCATATTTGCTCAAACTGGGAGTTATTCACAACTTTTGAGCCATCAAATGGTGAAAAAGTGTGAATGGGTAACTCGGCTCATTCCGCGGTTGAAGGCGTGGGCAAGGTGGTCCTGAAGATGACTTCGGGCAAAGAGCTGACTCTCAACCAAGTGCTGTTTGTTCCGGAAATACGCAAAAACCTGATTTCCGGTTCGTTGTTGAACAAGCATGGCTTCCGCATGGTCTTTGAGTCGGACAAACTGGTTTTATCAAAATCGGGAATGTATGTGGGCAAGGGATATACATGTGATGGGCTTTTTAAGCTCAATGTAATGACTATTATTAATAATAATAATAAAATTCCTTCTGCTTACTTGCTTGAGTCTTCTAATGTGTGGCATGGTAGACTAGGACATGTTAATTTTAATTCTATACGTAGATTGATTAACATGGAGCACATTCCTAAATTCACAATTGATGTGAAGCACAAATGTGAAGTTTGTGTAGAGGCAAAACTAACGAAAACGTCTTTCAAATCGATTGAAAGAAAAATGGAACCACTTGAATTAATTCATAGTGACGTTTGTGATTTTAAATCAATACAAACACGTGGCGGTAATAAATATTTTATTACTTTTATCGATGATAGCACTCGCTATAGCTACGTTTATTTATTAAAAAATAAACACGAAGCAATCGATAAATTCATTCTTTATAAGAATGAAGTGGAAAACCAACTTAATCGACGGATTAAGACGGTTAGGAGTGATCGAGGTGGTGAGTATGAAGCATCAATTGGTGACTTTTGCGCTAGTGTGGGTATAGTACACGAACGTACCGCACCCTATTCACCTCAATCAAACGGTGTTGCTGAACGAAAGAATCGCACATTGAAAGATATGATGAACGCGATGCTAGTAAGTTCGGGCTTGCCACAAAATATGTGGGGCGAAGCAATCTTGACAAGCAATTACCTTTTAAATAAGGTTCCCCGGAAAAAATATGATAAAACTCCGTACGAGTTGTGGAAAGGCAGACGGCCCTCCTATCCATATTTAAGAGTGTGGGGGTGTCTTGCAAAGGTGCTTGTACCAACACCTAAGAAAATAAAAATAGGTCAAAAAACGGTGGATTGTATTTTTATTGGGTATGCACAAAATAGTAGTGCTTATCGGTTTTTAGTGTACGATTCGAATAATCCGGATGTACATAAAAACACAATAATTGAATCAAGGAATGCTTCATTCTTTGAAGATGTATTTCCATGCAAGTCCAACGAAGGACATAGCACGTCAAAACGAACATTTGACGTAGCTATGGAAAATACTAGCGAGGGATCTGGAGAAGAACCCGAACCCAGACGTAGCAAACGTGCTAGAGTTGAAAAATCCTTCGGACCGGATTTTCTCACCTACCTGGTAGAATTTGACTCGGATATTCTAACACGTATGATAGAAAATGAACCGGATTTTCTAACATGTTTGGTAGAAAATGAACCACGGACTTATACGGAAGTCGTGACGTCTACCGAAGGTCCTATGTGGAAAGAAGCCATCAAAAGTGAGGTGGATTCTATCCTTAAAAATCACACATGGGAATTGGTTGATCTTCCTCCGGGAAATAAACCTTTGGGATCCAAGTGGATTT